GCTATAGTTATGATATTTTATTATGGTGCTCGTGATGGAAAGATTTGATAAATTGCTAATGTATATGATATATGCATTGTAACTGATCATCCCTAAAAAGAATCACTCGCGACTCATTGTTAGATATATTTGTGACACATGGCTTATGGATCTACTTATTGGGTTTTATAGCTCATTCCCTTAAACTTTCATCCTTGGATATTGATAGCAGCAGATCGAGGACAGGTGACACGGGGACCGCAATTGGTGGTTGGAGTCGCACTATTTTGCTCAAGTTTCTGCCTATTGTATGTTTTTGAATGGTAGCTTGACCATAGTTTTTGTTTAATTCTAGATGTTATGTAATGAATTGGGTCTCTGTTGCCCAGATTTCATTTGTAATACTTTACAAAATTTATGTTCAATGTATTTACATTCTGAGGACTGGGTTGTCCAGCTTTTGTTGTTCATATGTGTGATGTGGAAGTTTTGTTTTCTTTCGTGGTTTGCTTTGATTACTGCTTTTCTAAAGCGTTAGCGCACTCCTACCTGAGTAGCATTCGTTAGGGGCATTCGCTGGGGCAGGGTCGTGACACAAGTAGTTCTCAACATTTGAAATTGAAAAGATCCCTCCAAATGGGTCTTGTGATTGCGAGAGTAAATATAAACTATGCTCCCGAGGGAGTACAGTGTACGTGCCCACAACAATGACCAAGAGGTTGTCACCTTATCACCGTCCCATCAATGGTATAGAAAATGATGGAGAGAGCGGTCCCACCGAAGAAGTCCAGCAATTGATATGAACATCTTATTCCCCTTCCATCTCATGCATATCTTCATCGGATGGTTCTAAACTGCATGAACATGTTTTTGCTATGATCATATGGATCACATTGCACTTTTTTCCCGAAAAATGGGCTGGCATTCTTATGCACACCACTCTTTTATCTTAAGTTTGGATGGTCATGATACATTGAAGTCGGTATTTAGCCAAATTCACTTGAAGTTCATACAAGTTGGAAATTCAAAATGTCAATTTTAAGATAAATTTATGCTCATATCTCCCTAAATATTCGCTATTGTAAAGATCGTTCTCAAAATTTGTATTTTATGTTTATAACTTTTTTTTAAAAAAAAAACTTTTTTCTCAAAACGCCACACTTCGAACCTTCAAAAAGGACCAAAGAGAGAACGATTTTCAAGATGAAGTGCTGAATAATTCTTTTACCATGACTTTGAAGTCAAGTTTTTTTTTTAATTAAATTTGGATCTTAAAAGTCTGAATTCAAGCTCTTTTTTTTTTTTTCTTTTTTTATAGATTTTAGACCATGAAAGTCCAAAGTCTAATTTTTTATTTTTTTCTTGTGACCTTGGACATTTATAGTCGGAAGTCAAGTGTTGTCAAAATGACTTCAGATATTTAAAGTCTAAAGTTATTCTAGTAAGTATTTACTTTTGAACTTGAAACTCCGAATTCATCAACACTTTCACATTTTTTCTCAGTCAAAGTAGTTTCCTACTTGTCTTCTATCTGAATCAGGAATTTTGAAAGAAGTTTTTTTTTAAAAAAGAGAAAAATAAAAAAGAAAAAAAAGAAGAAGAGAAAAGAGTGTGGACCATACAGTGCTTTCAATCTGAGGCATGGAAGTGTGTCCCACCTCTTAGGGTTAGGTTAGACCAATGACACGTGCTCCCAACAATTCTAGGGAACTTGTTCAGTTACTGTTCAAGTATAAGGAACCACTATATCAACCATCTGATTTTGCATTAGAGGGTTGAGGAGTAGCTAGAAATGACTTAAAAACAAAATGCTAGAATAGTATTTTTTTTCCCATATGAAATGGATAAAAAAAGAGAAATTTGTTAAAATACCCCGAATTTATAAAGTATTGGAAATTTCACCCATTTTCAACTATTCCAACTCATGATTATCTGTATTTTGATGAGCTTTTGAGATTAAATCGAAAGTCATAGTTAAAATATAAAGGATGTAGTTTGGGGTCGATATGATAAATTAAAGGATTTTTCATCTGGGATATGAGCCCGAGACATCGACGCCCATAAACAACAAGCCACCATGACAGCGGGTCAAGCGCTCATTCATCATAAAAAAAATCTTGGTTTTTTGAGGTGCACCTTTTTTTCTACCGGCCGTAACCTTCTTATATAAACTTTTTCAAAATATAAATTAGTTCATCTTTTAACGAATTTCCATCTCCAAGTGCCTGATTTCTCCCTCCCCACGTAAATCAGGGCTTCTCGCTCCCCAAGTAAACCTTCATAGGGTTTTTCAATCTCCGATTTTTCCCACCCCAAGTCGTAGATCTGTTAATCTTCGTCTCATATGTTATCCAAAGTTTCTCTCTTCCCTTCATTTTGTCATGTAAGATCTTTTTATCGTACTATTTTTTATTGGTAATATTAATCATATTCTACCTTAATTTTTCAATACAAATGCGTTGATTATTCTACTTGCGAGCATTCGAGTTTTACATGCTTGTACTTGTATTTCATAGCCTTTAAAGTTTATAGTACATTTACCTATAATGGCCTCATCATTTTTTTAACATTAATTTTTTGATTGCTTATATTTTTTCATCGCAATTTAAAATTACTCACGAGGAGGTAAACCCCACCATAAAGATATTAGGATGTGAAGATATTAGGATGTGGGCATAAATGAAGACACATAAACGGGCCTACTAAAATCGACATTGAGAAATTAATACATTAGGACCTTTTTCAATAGCCAGCCAAAAAAAGGTATCGCATTTTTAATTAATAATAAGCTTTTCTCCATGTTTTTACGACACAACATTGGATTGGATTATAAGAAATTTTTGATAGATAAAATTACAATTTATGAAGTTACATATTTTGGATTGGTAATTTAATTTACTTTTTAAATGTTTTACTATTATTATGACATTTGAATTGATGTATATATAAATGTATTTGAACTACAAATAAATTTCAATATATGTATTATAAATGTAAGTCTATATTTAGACACGTACGAAAGCATAATGATTTTTTTTTGGGCTAGAATTTTTATACCCGCGTTTGTATTATAGATACACACGTATCAATTTTGTGAAAGCTTTCTATGCTCCCCTATAGCATAGAAGTTCTATCTTCCCCCTACCATTCAACCATCCATTTTTTATCAAAAGAGCCACTTCACCGTTTGATATTAGATCCGACGTCTCAAAGTATTTTATTTTTAATTTTTTTAATATAAATTTTCTGAATGTGAAATTTAGTACATGCCATCTTCTCATTGGGGCGCACTTATGAAAAATATTAAAAATATTTTTTCGACAACAAATAATGACCAAAATATCTCTTGAAATTTTTAGAGGTATTTTGATCATTTTATGTTATTAAAAATATATTTTTTTATATTTTTCATTGGTGTGAGTTTAATAGAGGAATAGAAGTCCAAAATTTGGTATCAAAATAGTTATAGAAAAAAATTAAAAATAAAATAGTGTAGAGACGTGACAATGTGATTGGGGCAACCCTCGCCCTCCATTAGAAAATGGACTGTTAGATAAAGGGGATGATAGAACTTTTATGTTGTAGGGGAAGCATAGAAAGCTTTTCCATCAATTTATATATGACATAGATTATAACTAGTGAAAATTATCTGACTACCCGTGAGAGATTAACAATTAAACATAGTTTTTTATTTAATTACCCCAAAAAAAATTGTTTTATTAAATTTCAATATACTATAGAATAACACATAGTCATGTATTGGAATAGTACAAAAAAAAGTAAATTATTAAGAAAAAGTATATAAAGAGATCACAATCATTTTTATTTGTCATATTTTAAATCGGGTGGTTGTAAGTGTATTGTTGACTAGACTCAAAGTTCAAAAAAAAATCTCATATTTTGTGACATACCCCAAGCCATCGAATTTGAAATCTAATAGCTAGAAGTGATTGTGATAGTATACAGTTCTAATTATTAAAGGATATAGTTTATACAACGTATGAGCCTTATGAAAGAAAAAATAAAGCCTCAACTCAAAATCTTATATACTTGAGGCATAGAAAATCCTTAAGATGCTTCAAAAATATATTTCCACCACCGATTATAAACTTTGTTGCTCAAAAAAATAATACAGATCTTATAGATCCACAAACACTTGAGAATAGATTTTTTAGATAATATGTTCCAATAAACATTACTTTTAGGATTGAAATTCTTCTTATTATTCTTTTTAAATATAATGATCAACGTTGGATGATCAGGTTTATTGACACATAAATTATAATTTATAAGCAAATCCTTAACTTGACTCTAAAATATATTTCCACCGCCGATTATAAAATTGGTTGCTAAAAAAATGGTAGAGATTTTATGGATCCACAAATACTTCGATAATAGATTTTTTATGTTTTTAGACAAGGGAGCCGTTTGTATAGAGCCTAGGCTCTAAACAATCAAATTAGAGCCTACTTTCAAATAGTATCGAGAATGTGGTTTCAATACTAGAAATTTTTGTGATAGCCTTAAAATATATTTTAATTTTTATTTATAAAGTTTAAAGCTTAAAAAATAGTATAGATCTACATATCTATGAAAACTTGAAAATTGACGGTAAAAAAATACATTACAAAATATACTATTTCCAAAACTTGAAATCTATTTTTTTCTGATGTCCATACATCTTGATGTCGAGATGATCAATTTGAGGATATTTGGACATCAAAACAATCTCTTCTAGTTAAATTTTTTAGGTAGGCTTAAATTTGATTGTTTAGAGCCAGGGTTCTATGTAAACTATTCCCTTTAGACAATATGTTGCAATAAACATGATTTTTAGGGCTTATAATTCTCACTTTTTTTTTTTTTCAAATATAATGATCAAGGTCGGGTGATCAGGTTTATTGAGACGGAAACTATAGTTTTTACGTGAGCTTTGAGGAGTGGCTTTACTTTTTTTAAAGGAGGCCGCGGTCTTATCTTAACCTTTTCTATTTAACAAAAATGGTCTCTTTAAGTATATTCTCGACTTTCTTCTCTTCAGAGAGTGTTTGTCTCATTTCGTACCCATCCAGCTCGAGAACCACCTCCTCTTCGGGAATTCCGATTAGGGTTTTCTCTCTCTAAATGGCCGGTATGTAAGCTCTCTCCCTTTCTCATATGGCATGTATCAGATGTTTTCGAATTGATATGGTTTCATTACTATATGTTAAATGTATCTCAGTTTGATTACTTGATTGTTATGGGGCTCCTCTTAGTCGTGAGATTTTCAGGAAATATTGTACATATTATCACTGATACTTGTAAAATTTTCTGGGTTCCGTAGAAATTTAAACTCGTTCATTGAAATTGATAGATGTGGGCCTTTTCTCAGTGAAATTAGCTATAAAATGTCATTTTCTTTAAATTTTTATCATTATGATTAATTTTCCTGTAATTTTATTGATAAACATCTTGATTTCCATTATAATAAAATAAAACTTCTTGTTTTTCTGATTCGAAGCGCATCAAAATTTCATGGTGGAAATACATCACAAAATCTGTTTTGTTTGAATTTGAATCACTTCCTTATGATCTGTTCCACTTATTCTTTGGGAATTTGGTGGGGCACTTGTTGTTGTATCCTAGGAATCTGAACATCACGAGCTACATATAAATTGGCTCTTCTTTTTTTTGTTTCTACTTATCTCTATAAATGGTTGATCTCTTACTAAGTAACTTCCTTTTCAAATTGTTATTTTGAGCTCCATACCTTGTATCTGCTTCAAATTTATTTAACAGATAAAAAAAGAAAGCAATCTATTTGACAGAAGAATTTATGAATTGGCAAACATTCACCCCATCCTTATTAGAGTAAAAAAAATTACACGTAAAAGGACTTAGAAATAAAGATATATCTTGTAGAGGTAGCCACATTAAGAATTGGAGCAATGTTTGGCCCAATAATTTGTCGCACTTGTCTTTTTCCTTATTCATCTAATCTTATCCTAAATTGCACTAAAATGTTATGATGTTAAGATGACTTATCCCAGTGTTACTGTTCTCCCTAACATAGCAAACTACTCTTATGAAACTGAAGAAATCAGAGAGCTGGAAAAATTGTCAGAGAAATTGAGAATGTCACATGAAAATGACTGCTTCAAACTCAAAAAATGAGAGCTTCGGATTATGGTTCTTGAGATTATTGTTTTTTGAAAGAGAAATTGGAGGATTTGAGTATAAAGAGTTTGGGTTTTTGTATAAAGAGAATATAGGGACTTTGGAGTATGAGGCCCTAAATCAGAACCCTATCAAACATTTAGGTAAATCCCGACAAATCTCCCACTGAAATCACATATAACAACCTGTAATGAATTTGAAATGAAAAAAACCAAAGATCCAGAAAATTATTAAGGGAAATGAGAAATGTACCTAGAAATCATAGAGCTCAAAAAATGATTTTTGAAAGTGGGAGACTTGCTTGATGATGATTGCTTCGAGGTCAAAAAATTGAGAGCTTCACAGATTAGGACTTTGCAAAGTGCTTCCTAAAGAAAGTTTAGAGAGAGAGAGAGAGAGAGAGAGAGAGAGAGAGAGAGAGAGAAGTAGTAGTAGTAGTGGTGGTAGGAGGTAGTTGGTTACGGTAAGTAAGTTAAGTAAGGTAAGTAGGTAAGGGTGGTAAGGAAGAGGAAGGT